AAGCAACCTCAAAGAAGCAGTAATGAGCACAAGGGTCGAAGGTGTGTCTAAAGAGTGAACATAATGCTTGAATTTAAGCTGGGGTTCCTGGCAAGAGGGAACATCAAGGGGATGAGGAACTGTAAAGAGAGGGTAGAAGGTCAGTTAATTAAAGATTCTGATGGGTTGAAAGAAATATTAAGGGAAACAGGTGTGAGTTGAAAAGGTAAGTGGTAATCAGGATGGGTTGCATGCAGTTGAGATTTAATTGGCAATGATAAAGTTTAAGGTAGGACCAAAAGTAAAGGCATGAGAAAGTAATTAAGTGGTAAGGGGACAAGATAATTGTTGGAACAGAGTTTCACCTGTTAACCGAGCGGGACATATAAATACGTCAAGCGGAAACAATATCGGGTACGGGTAGGACGTATGAATACGTCCTGGAAATATATGTTGTGCCCTGAAACAGGCGGGACGTATATTTCTGAACAACAAAGGTATTAGTCATCCATACATGTCTCGGCATGAATTTAAGACACGGAAGGAATCAGTATAATTTCGCTATTGAGAGTGGTGGACGTGTTCTGGGTGAGCAGTGACGGGTACATACTTACACTTACCTACCTATTTTCATATTATATATTATTTACTTATATATTTTTTATATCTCCAACCTTTATATAATAAAAAAACATATAAAATTGATCCAATCATCAATTAATTTGTCAGAAAAGTTTAAAAGTTTGTATGTATGTGAACGAGAAATATGCCAAATGAATCTCTTTTATTATGGAAAGGGAATTTATCTTGGAAACAATATATATCTACAAAAAGAGCTAGATTTGGAATGAAGTTGTTTATTTTGAGTGAAAGCCAATCTGGATACATACAAAATATAATTTTATATGCAGGCAAGGACACAAATGATGGTTCGAACTACCCACAAGAAAAACAATCAACAAGAATTGTTTTGGAGTTAACACATGACTTACTGAATAAAGGGTATAGGATTTACTTAGATAATTTCTTTACGTCAATTCATTTGGCTGAACTCTTGTGTCAAAACAATACAGACATTGTTGGAACAATGAGGATAAATAGAGTTGGAATCCCCAGTGAAATAAAAACAAAAAAATTACAGAAAAATGAACATATGTAAGAATCAAAGACAAACTTATGGTTTTAAAATAGAAGGATAAAAAAGACGAATTGATGCTCAGTTCTATTCATAATGACGAAAAGACAATGATTGGAAAGAGAGGAAGAAGGCAAGAAAAACCGAATGTTGTCCTGGATTATAACAAGACTATGGGCGGCGTAGATTTGGGAGATGGAGTTATGGTGGCCTACATGGCTGCCCGTAATAGGGTAAAAAAATTTTATAAAAAAAATTTTCTACGATTAATTGATATGTGCTGCTTCAATGCATATATTATATACAAAAAAGATAAAGGTCATTTGGATCGATTACACTTTTTGATAGAGTGTGTAGAGAAATTGGTAGATAACAACATAGTGAAAACCCACCCAAAGACATCAACAACAGCTCTACATCTAAACCATCACGCTTAGTTGAAAGGCATTTTCCAGAACAAATGAAAAGCGATATAGGAAAAACTAAATCCAGGAAATGCCGAGTTTGCTACAAAAAAAGGTATTAGGAAAGAATCTACATACTGGTGTCCGGATTGTAAGGTAGCACTATGTATCAACAATTGTTTTAAAATATATCACACGGAAGTTGAGTTTTGAATTTTTACATCTATATTTCAATTTTATAAACTCAATATTTCTATTTTATTTGTGTGCTTTTGTTTATTGTTTTGTAATTATTAACTTTTTAAATATTTTTTTTTTGTGTATAAAAATAAAAAATATATTTTTGGTAATCTTTATAATTGTTTATAAAATTTATCATTTTTTAATTCGATGTTTCCATTTTTTTGTAGGTATTCTTTTCTATTTGTTTGTAATTTTGTATTTCCCTTTGTGCTTTATATATAAATAAACAAAATATATATATATTTCATTTATTTTAATTAAGTATAAATAAAAAAATAATAATATAAAATTACGACTGGGCGTGACATACTGACACGTCCTAGTGAAAGAGTATGCGCCCATTGTACGTTGCATAATTAAAAAGGAAACTCCAGTTAACAGGTTAAGAAACAGAGGCCAGATATGGGAAAGATTTTTACACACACACACAGAGAGAGAGAGAGAGAGAGAGAGATCAAATCATCAAGAATTAAGACAGGGATGGCCTGGCTGGGTAGCTCAGGTGGTTGGAGCATCTTCCCAATGCACTAGGGTTGTGGGTTTGATCCCTAGTTGGGGAACATACAGGGGTCAACCAATGACTACATAAATGAGTGAAACATGTTGATATTTCTCTCTTCCTTTCCCTCTCTCTAAAGTCAATAAATAATATTTAAAAAAATAGACAGGAGTAGTGCTAACAAGAGGGAGTGGCCCAGTGAGTCAGTCACTAAATGAGAAATGAGGGAAGGGACCTAAAAGTCTATAGATGACAGCAACTAAGAGGAGTGGGTGACATAATCTGCCCCAGGTGAAGGCATTCTCAGCATTATATAATTGAAATATCACG